TTCAGAAACCTGGCGACTTGGTGGAGAAAAATGAAGATACCGGTGTTATGTCAGTGGAGAGTCTCTGCATGAACTGCCATGAAAATGTAAGTTATATCGATGGATATCTGCGTTTTTCTGCGCCGAGACGACAATTACTAACAAAACTTTAAGGGTGTCACCAGACTTCTCCTCCTCCGAGTACCTTTCTTCCGCGACATTATCCTCGAATCTTTCGAATGCGAACACTGCAGTCACCGAGACAACTCCGTCAAATCCGCAGGTCAGATCCAAGAGAAGGGAACGAAATACACGCTGGACGTTGAGAACGAGGAAGATTTCCAGCGCCAAGTCATTCGAAGCGATGTCTCAATTTTCAGAATCGAATCGCTCGGTATCGAGATGCCCAAGGGCGAAAGCCAGCTGACCACAGTGGAGGGAGTTATTCAGCGCATCTACGAGAACCTGTCCAGCGACCAGCCATTGCGCAAAGAGCAAGCGCCCGAGCTGCACGATGCGCTCGTGCCGATTATCGAGAAGCTGGAGAAGATTCTGAAGCGCGAGGGCTTCCCTTTCACCATCTCGCTCGATGATCCTACCGGTAACTCATGGATTGCGCCCAATACACAGGACAAGACAAACAAGTACAGACGTCGCGACTACCCCCGTACACACGAGCAGAACGAAGAGCTCGGTATTGCTGCCGACCCGGAGGCCCAGAAGAATGAAGGCGTCAACGTGGAGGGCGAGATTGACGACTCGGAAATCGTCGAAGGGCAGGTTTACAGTCTTCCCGCGGAGTGCCCCGGCTGCACAAAGGCATGCTTTGTCAACATGAAGAAAGTCAACATTCCCTACTTCAAGGAGGTCTTCATCTGGGGTACAGTTTGCGACCACTGCGGCTACCGCACTAGTGAGGTCAAGACCGGTGGTGAGGTTCCGGAGAAGGGCAAGCGCATTACCCTTCGTGTCGAGAACGAGGTCGATCTGTCGCGTGATATCCTCAAGTCCGACACCTGCGCGCTCCACAGCGACGAGCTCGAGGTGACTGTGCAGCCTGGTACCCTTGGCGGCCGCTTCACCACCGTTGAGGGTCTGCTCACGGAGATTCGCGATCAGTTGCACGGCCAGATCTTCGATGTCGATGACACTACCAATTCTGGTGGGGACAGTATGGCAGCGTCTGACAAGGAAAAGTGGGAGCGTTTCTTCAGCCGTCTCAACGATGCCATCAGCGGAAAGATGAAGTTCGTCATTACTCTTGAGGATCCCATGGCCAACAGCTACGTCCAGGATCTGTGTGCTCCCGCCCCCGACCCTCAAATCACAACTGAAGAGTACACTCGTACGGAAGAGGAGGAAGAGGAGCTCGGCCTGAGAGACATGAAGGTTGAGGGGTACGAGCAGGAGCAGAAGGAAGAGAAGCCCGCCGAGGAGGCTGATGAACAGAAGTCATGATTTTCGATACCAATTAGAAGCCGGTTTTGTTTCCTGTGTTGATTTACGACTCTCTTTGGGTTTGCTCATGACGTGCATGATTTTTCTTGTCGACTTTCTGCCTTTCGATGATCTGTCGAGTTTGCATTATGGCGCTTATGCTGCTTACTCGGAGATGAGTTTGGGGATAAATTTTTGCATCAAGATTCCTGATGTGGGATGAGCTTTTTTCGTCATATGACTCTGTGCAGATCTTCATGGTGTTCTACTGTTTATGGGGATGTGGAGAAGTATTTGGCGAAATCCTATTGTTGTTCTTAATTCACTAAGTCTAGTGTCTCTTATATCTTTTTGTAACTCGGCCAGGGTCCCTTTACTCGGTCCTGGAATGCCTGCAAACCTTCTGAGGTTGCGATGACAGCTATATCTCACCGTTGTCGTGCAAATCATGCTGGAAGCGTGACTCTCAGATCGCCCAGCAGAGCCATATCAGCGGCGCTGAGCAGTCAACATGAATGACTGTCGTCCAGGATCCCGGGTTAGACCTTGCCGGTCACTGAGCCAGCGTTCGGAAATCCGACTCCAATTCCACGGATGTGGGTTGGCTTCAATACTGCCTTCAAGGGTCTGGAGATTCTCCTCGAGGCTTCAGGACCGTCAACTGCGATCCAAGAGAACTCTGTCATGAAGTCATCTTTATCTGTGAACAGTAGGACCTTATCTCACTTCGCAAACGGGTTGGCATGGATCGTCACGCTGTTGATACCAATCGCTTCATATTCCCCCTCCTCCCCTTCTTTCGGCTGAGTCACTCTCCCCTTCTTGTCCACTTTTAGTTTCGCCTTCTCCAGTTTGCTCAGGACATCGCCTCCCTCATCCTGCGGACTCAGGTTCAGAACCTTCCCAAACACGGTACTCGCCCCGTCCAAATGGGGAGCCGCAGCGAAGGTGATGAAGAACTGACTCCCATTGACCGTCGCACCCGTCGCACCTTGTGACCCCGGTGCCGTCCGGTCTTTAACTGGTCTCGACGCCATTGACAAAATTCCGCGCGCATTGTGACGGAGGGCGGGCAGGTGGATCTCCTGGTTCAGTGCACGAGGATGGTAGATTGAGGTGCCGCCCTTGGGGACTTCGTTGACGGGTAGCATGGGTTTTAGTGTATTCAATGTTGCTGGTGCTGGCCCGAGCGAAATATCGCCGCCTTGGATCATGAAGCCGGGGAAGATACGGTGGAAGGGGGTATTGTTGTATGCGCCGCAAGCGCAGAGGGCGAGAAAGTTCTGTCATGTTCGGATCAGCCTCGTGGGTATCAGAAAGCAAACAATAACGTTTGTTGACAGGTACGAAGACATCAAGCTGGAAAACACTCACTTCGGTTGTCTGAGGCACGGCCTCGCAAAAGAGCTCGACCTTGAGATCTCCATGTGTGGTATGAAGCTGCCGATAGAGGTCAGCATCGTTATCCTCCCAACCAAGGAACCTGTGCGAGGTTCGGAATAACAAAAGCACATGGAGAAAAACCTACAGTGACAGACATGGCGACTCGTCTAGCGCTAGGATTTAGATTCGAAGGAAATTCTGAGTGATAATGATCATCACACCTCCGTTCTGGCAGCTTCATGCCGTTGAGCACGTGACATGTCTCGACGCTATTCCTTTTTCAGTCTATATCGATGATAACGCGCGATAACGCTAGTCTAGAGATGGTAACAAGTTCACAGTTGCTGGAGCCCGCAGCCTTTCGACAGATCCCTTGACCAGGTACAAACGTTTCTTAGACATATCTACGTTCATCTGGTAAGCCCACAAGATGAACAACAGACCTGTGGAGCAAGCTCTGTCTACGCTGGTGCCAACGCACGCCAATGACCTACCACCAGAGCTCGTCAGCCTAGCCCTGTCCTTAGTCGCGCAATCCCGAAGTTTTGCAGCGAGCCTGAAGCCTGAAGAGGAGATTGCACGGCCCTATGCCTGTGCCGAGATAGCATGCAGAAGGTATAGCTATTTATATCCCAATTGATTGACCTAGACACTGAACGAGCCATCACTACTCCAGGTTGAGCAGGACCCTCAAACTTCCTCCATTACTTGGTCATCCGCCGTGCCCTCCACGAGCATATAAGAAACTATACTCTTTTCTGGAACGGTCGTTATCGACTAGTGTCAGCCCCTCAAAGCGCGCAAGAGACAGTTCGGCCCCAGGGACGCCTTCACGCTCCGGCTCTGCACCTTCAACACCTACGAAGACACAAGCACTTGCAAAAACCGCTGCGACGCCGCGAGGCCTTCAAAATACCCCGAGCAAGTCGACGCCCCTCAAACTAGCTGTCAATGCCTCGGACAGACCGGCTGCTCCATTGCCCACTCCTCAGAAAACCAACAAGGTCCGGCCCAATGGTCTGTCCAGCTCTACGATCATCCCCGATGCACCTGCCTGGGTCATGGATTCAATCCGGACAGTGTGCAAGACACTTTCCACTCCAGCACCGCGCACGAGCACATGGTCCCGGCCCCCAATCTCCCGAACTCTGCCGCCACATATTTTCGCTGGCGTATCATCGATCCTCTACCTCATCTCGAACCTCTCAGCAAAGAATGACGAGGATCTGGACGAAGAAATGATGGAGTTCCTCGAGCCAATCATCACGGTCAAGAATACAGAGAAGGACGAGGATTTTAAGGAAGTCGTGTACGCGTTGGTCGTAGCAGTTTACTTCATCGTGCTTGCGCGCCGGCGCAATGCACCAGACGATGGCTCTTCGGAGGCAGGCGAGGCACGGAAGATGGACAAGAAGACGTTTTCGGAGATGCGGCAGACTGCCCTTGTCAGCCTTGGCCTGCCATCCACAGAGCGGCGGCACCGCGACGATGTCGATCAGTGGATTGCGTTAATCATGGAGCAAGGCTGGATGAATGGTCAGGAGTGGTTCGAAAACATCCCGCAGGCTGGGGAAGTGGACGGAGACGATGAGTACCTGTCGGATGAATATAGCGGCCGTGACAGCGAAAGAAAGCGCCAGAAGACAACAGGTGCAGGCCACGGTTTTCTTTTGGAGGACTCATCGAAAAGGAAAGGTCTTCTGCCTGGTTTGGGGACAATGATGCAGGACCGGGTCGACTGGTTGAGCGCGGATCGCCGCGAGGATTACATTGAATGGAAGGCCGATATAATGTCGCGCATTCAGCAATTGGCCTCTGCTAGATGAATAGCGGGAGTCCTGTCTCACCATTCTCATCTGCATGATATGAACTATGATACCCTTGACCTAAATAAACATCTCTAAAAGTCCCTCTACCTAGATAGTTTTAAATGTCCTTCCTCCATGCAGTCCCAGCCTGAAACATGCCAAAAATCATCTCTATCCTCTAAAACCAATCGTGCAGTGGATGGCAATCCGACCAGTCATAAAAAGGTCACCAAACTCCCGGAAGCGACAGCAAAGAAATTCCCGGTATACTGGAGGGCAAAATATGACCCCGAACGGTATGTACGCCGAACGCATCGCCATAAATATGCAAAAGGGAACAAAAATATTCGGGTATCATGGTAAGCGGCAGTCGGTTCATGTGCTGCATCTGGGCTAATACCAAATGCTTCTCGTCCTGTGATGCGGAACCGTCTCGCGGCCGTCCCTCTCCAACTCTTTTGCTGTATCATACAAGAAGAAATCGATCAAGATAGCATTTATCCCCGAGCCGGATGTATCGTGGATACTGGCTTGTCGGATGTGCTTTTGTGTGGCAGGATTTGTCTCGTTTTCAGATGAAGTGGCTCCATTCGCTGGGCTTTCAGTTGGTGCCCCTTTCGATAATTTCTGCTTCTTCACTTCAGGGTGTTGGCGTTCAATCTCACGCCGAATCAACTCAACGCACCAGATGCTGGTTGCACGCAGCTCAATTTCCCAGTTGGAGCCACTGGGAATCAGCTTTTTGCTCCTGATGTGACCCTCTAACGATGGCGAGTATAGAAGACAGCCAAGTTGATGGAGCATTTGCGGGATTCGGTAATCTGCCAGTCGTCACTTGTCAGTTATACCGTGATATATTGGGTGGGAAATAAACCTACCGGCAAACATCGTGATTTTGTCAATATCGTGAAACTCTCCATAACTTTCTCCGTTGAAACACGCCCAGAGGTCTGCCACGAGAATCTGTGCGCGTTTGTATAATCGTACTCGCTGGCCTTGGAAAACTGTCTCGTCTCGAAAGCAGGGAAAGCTTTCTACAAGAAGATTGACAAGGGCAGCGGCGGAGTAATTGGCGCTATAAATGCAGTTTACAAAGCTGCCGTCGAAATCCTATAATCGCACTAAATTAGTTTCGAATGGTAAGAAATTACGCCATGGGCATCGCCGTACCGAGCAAAGGACCCTGCCTGCTTCACGAAGGCATTGGAGACGTTCATCGAGTAATGGAATCTCCTCTTCACTCGCTGATCGAAAAACATGTCTCAAAAGAGCGTCTGTGCATTCCTCCTCGTTGATCCAGAATTCTGGTGTGGTGATCTGAATCCCTGAAAGTAGAGAGGCGTGAGTCTCTTCCCTGAGCGAAGATTATGACAGAGGACTTACCCTCATCTAAAGCCCTTTGCAATGCGGCTACCAGACTCCAATAGCCTGTCCACTTTTTCCCCCGGTACTCAATACAGAATCGCTTGGACGGTTCTGTTTCGTCCGACCAGAAGCTGAAGTTCAAAAGATCCATCGTGAATATGAAGTCAACTGTGCTTCCGTCTTTTGCCTTGGGGTGCAACTCGTGATCTGCCCACGTCTCGGTTGAGTAATTCTTCTTCTGCATCAGCCGCCATATTGTCTCCGCCGCTTCCTTAACCTTCGCCGGACTCAGCGCGACGTCAATGGCATTATCGAAAACAAATTGCGCATTTTCGAGGACTTTCGTCTCTGCAGTCCGTGGATTAGCAGGCCCACCATCTAGTCCAAGTGACTTGCGAAGAAGGGCCAGGAGCTCGGGATCGGCTTCGTCGTCCGACATGGCGCGTGCTATCATTCTGGTCTATTTCCAGGAGTTCTCACACAATTGTCCAAAGTGTAGGCAATAACTGAAGGTATATATCCACTAGATAGATATCCAAGATTGATGCCAGGGAGCAAGAGTTCTTTTTCGAGCGCGGACGTATAGTTGCAGAGAACTATATCGCCAGATTGCCTTTTTGACTCAGCGACGGCTGATCAGTTCGCCGCAAAGGAAGGGACCTTACAAAGCCGGTCCGTTGCGAATTCTATGGGACGACCAGGGATGCTTTGAGCAAGTCACAGCATGGAGAGGATCTGCAGACAAACCAGAGAAGAGGATGTTAGAATCGTAGGAAAGGGGTTGACAGGAAAATGATTCAGCTGCCTAACCTCAATTCCAGACCCAAAAATTTGGCTTCTTTATCTTATCTGGGGAATTTCGGGGGAACATTTTATGGGAGTTTAGGTAAGCGATGCATGCCACATTCTTCAGGCACAAAGGGGTTCGCCATTAAAGTCCGGCGTATGTCTCTGACCAGTCCTCGCCCCTTTGAACTGAGACTAGAGCGCGGATGCATGAATTGTTTGATCCCAATAATCATTGAATATGGAAGGGAAGCGACAGAGTCCCCAGTAATTGTTGACTCCATGGTCTGATGCTGATGTGAAGAGATGTTTGAACTGCCACTACTGTGATGACGTTGGATGTACCCCTCAGTATTGGATCATCTCCGAATCATTGGAAACCAGCTAGATAGATGGAGGTTTCGTAGCGCAAGATAATATTCTTCGCAAAGCTTATTGAAAAAGTACTGAGTAAATTGCATAACAGATAATATAGATGCATAGATACCGGTCTAGAAAATGAGAGACTGAGAGGAATGTGAGGTCTCACAGTCCACACTCGGGCAGATGCAGCAGCCTCTCCAGTCAGCAGATTTGATTAGAGCCATGCATGCATACTGCTTGTTCTCCATCTACTAAGAAATTAAGTTCCTTAAGAATCTCGACCGTCTGGACGCCGATTAGGTATAAGAGGCGCAACAAGGCTGCCCTTTTCCCTAATCAGCCTGTATCTAACGTTCTCTTCACTTGACTTTGATAAGAGTGTATCCGTGCGCGACATCTGAGAGCTTCCCTCTTGAGATTGGAAAATGTCTCTGTAGTCAAAACACATCCTGATGAGATTGACTGGCCTCATCAGACGTATTCACTCGCCTTTTCGTCCTGCAATGGATGAGGCGCCATCGTGTTGTTTGAAGCTGCGTCGGAGCTGAACTGACCCCGGCACTCTTTTCCCTTTCAACCTGCGCCTGGTTACGTCTTGTTTCCGGATTCCCTTCAGCTTCTTGCGAACTGCCTTATTAACCTTACTTTCTCCCAACACCTCCTACAGTTTAATCGCCTACCTTACATATTTCTCCTTCGTCCAATTAACTCTGCTTCTAAGTGATCAATTACTTCGGGGATGTTCTTCCCACCACTCTGAAGCTCTACGTCACATCCCACCTTTCTTCAATTCGCATCAAATGGCGAGGGACGCTTATCTGAAGCGTTCCCTCGGAACGCTCTCCAGGCGCATCAAAGAGGTAGCTATATCGCACCCTACGCTTACTTTCGCAATGCGCTCGTACTCGCGACCGCTGGATCAAGCTTGATGCTGACGTCCTACCTCTTTTCCAACTTAGTCGCGTGTGCTTCTTGTCGGTGCCGGCGGTATCGGCTGCGAGCTGTTCAAAAACCTTCTGTTGTCCGGCTTTGGAGAAATACATATCATTGACCTTGATACCATCGATCTGAGCAATTTAAACCGCCAGTTTCTCTTCCGCTACGAACATATCAAGAAGCCGAAAGCATTGGTACGTCTTCGCCGTCTGATCGGTTCCTCTGCCTTCTCTCGTCCGCTCGCTTTGCGCTTCGATCTCCTGCGTTACGCGATATGACGGACAAGGTCTGACCTATGTGGGTAATCATATAGGTTGCCAAGGAAGTGGCTCATAAGTTTCAACCGAGCGCGAAGCTGGAAGCATACCATGCAAACATCAAGGACAGCCAATTCAACGTGGACTGGTTCGCGACCTTCGATTTAGTCTTCAATGCGCTTGACAACCTTGACGCCCGGCGACATGTCAATAGAATGTGCCTGGCTGCCAATGTGCCGTTGATAGAGAGCGGAACAACAGGGTTCAACGGACAGGTGCAGGTTATCAAAAAGGTATGCCTTTCCCGTAGCAGTTGATGCATACTCCTTTCGTCCAGTACATCTTTAATGACTATCATAGAATCAAACCGAGTGCTACGACTGCAATTCAAAAGAAGTACCCAAGACATTTCCAGTGTGCACCATCAGGAGCACGCCGAGCCAACCCATTCATTGCATTGTCTGGGCTAAGAGTTACTTGCTCCCGTGAGTGTTATACATATCTGCGCATGGGCCTCAAGCATGTCTAATGCTATAAAGCGAGCTTTTTGGTACCAGCGAAGATGAGTCGGAAGAATTCGATCATTCGGCAGATGCCGATAACGGTAAGTACCTTTGGTCGTCTATGTGTCGCAAGCCAGTTATAACCCTGAAGCAGCTGCCGAGATCGCCAATCTGCGTAAGGAGGCGCAAGCTCTGAAAGCAATCCGTGAGTCGATGGGCTCACCCGAGTTCTATCAGAAGGTATTCGAGAAAGTCTTCAAAGAAGACATCGAGCGGCTACGGGGTATGGAGGACATGTGGAAAACTCGAACGGCACCCCAGCCCCTTGATTTCGAAAAACTGCAACAAGAATCATCCTCAATCGAGCCCATCGTCTCTGTCAATGATCAGAAAGTGTGGTCATTAGCCGAAGACTTCGTTGTTTTCAAGGATAGGTTCGAAACGCTGTCGCTTCTGACAATCTCTTCGCGAACAATAGCTGACGGTCCAATAGCTTGGGACGGCTTAGCAGACGCTTAAAGACTCTGCAAGAAACAACCAAGGATGGTCTGAAGCCGATCTTGATTTTTGACAAGGATGATGTCGACACTCTCGACTTTGTCACCGCGAGCGCCAACCTCAGAGCGACGATCTTTGGAATCGAGCCTAAGTCAAAATTCGACACGAAACGTAAGCTTGACGCTATTACTGATTCATTTCTATTGCTGATTGTTATATCAGAGATGGCTGGGAATATCATTCCCGCAATTGCGACAACGAACGCGATGACAGCGGGGCTCTGCGTGTTGCAGGCTTTCAAGGTTCTCAAGAATGATTTTCAAAATGCCAAAATGGTACGCGCTACGTCTGAACCGGTTCCTCGTGTAATCTGACCCCTAATCTTCCACCAGGTCTTCCTTGAACGCTCTGGCGCGCGCGCCGTCAACTCTGATTCCCTGAAACCGCCCAATCCGAGCTGCCCTGTGTGCTCGGTTGCCACTGCCAGAATCAGAATTGACCCTGAACGTGCGACTGTTAATGACCTGGTGCAGGATGTACTCCGGTTGCAATTGGGCTACGGCGAAGAGTTCTCTCTGAGCAATGAGCTGGGAACTATCTACGATCCGGATCTTGAAGACAACCTGCCCAAGAAACTGTCGGATCTCGGTATCAAGAATGAGAGTTTTCTCACTGTCGTAGACGAAGAGGATGAACAACCGCGTGTCAATCTTGAACTTGTCGTGCTTGTACCTGAGAAGTAAGTTTACAGGATAAAGGGTCGAGTGGTAATTGTGCTAACTGTATTTCAGACCCGAGCCCTCTGAAGCTGAGAAACCTGTCTCTCTAGAGAAGATGATCAATATTCCACGGAAGCCCAAGGAACGCGAGCCTCCTGTCCCAGAACCTGTAAATGGTGCAGCAGTTACTGGCAAGCGCAAAGCGGAGGAAGCTGGCCTCACCGACGGTGACGAACGTGTGAAACGCATTGCGAGTGCCTCCGTCGCCGAGGGTGATGGAGAGCACCCCATTGTATTGAATGAGGCAGATGGCGGCGCTATTTTGATCGACGACTGAGCAGTCGAAGGGTCGTTAGCATTTTGATCAACTCAATGTCACCATTAGACCTCGGCATTGGTATTTGTCACACTATTTCCCGGGTGCCAGGTTTTGCATGCCGCATTTTGAATTGGGAATCTGCAATCTTTGTCCCATGATGTCCTTGTAACATATCCAACGAACATGGAAAGTCTGAAATGAAATATAGATTGGTCAATCACTCCAGTTACTGTCCCACTTGCGCATGGCATTGTGTTTCGATTTCTTGGAGGCGCAGGCGCCCTAGTTCGAGGGGTTCTATCATGGTATCTCATGAGCCGTAAATAGCCCGCCCTGTCATAGCAGGTACATAGCTTCTACTCCGATACGTAGACATTGTGCCGCCTTTCCATCAGATCGCGCTCAAACCACCGTCCAGATTGAGGACGCAGTTGTTCGCGTATTCATTCTGCGCCAGGAACACAGCCGCATCGGCAATTTCATGCGGAGTACCAAACCTCCGAACAGGAATACTCTCTTTCAGTCTGGAGGTTTCGCCCTCGCTAAAATCTGCAGTTATATCATTAGTATTCGATCACGAATGGTCACAACCAGCGGCGTCTCCGCTAGAAATCGACTTACCAGCAATCATTGGCGTTTCTATGTACCCCGGAACTATCGCGTTGGAACGGATTACAACGCCCCGGAGGGAATGGACAGCTTCCACAGCCAACGAGCGCGTCAGTCCAAGGATGCCAGCCTTGGATGCAGCATAAGGCACCGCGCCGGTGCCTCCCTTGACAGCAAGCAGGGAAGAAATGTTGATAATGCATTTTGAGGGGACTGGTATTTCAGATGTGCTGGAGGTATTGCGAATCTTCATCTGACTGCGGATCGAGGCGCGCACGAGAGCTCGCGAGGTTAGCATTGCGCCCTCCAGATTCGTGCGAAGGACTCGCGAGATATCGTCTGGTTCAAGTTTGGGGAGGATGTTGGAGATGGAGATGCCTGCAGCGTTGACAAGGATGTCGACCGGTTGCTGTTCGGATTTGTTAGATACTACCATCCGAGACTGGGCGGGAGAGCTCACCATTGCCTTCTCCAATTCGCGCAGCCACTTCCCGGCTTCTGATATATCACCGACGAGGAGACTGATTCTACTCGAGGAGTCGATCAGTGTACCAGGTGACTTTGCCTGCGTATCTTTGTTTTGGGTTTGTTGATCTGTTTCGGGGGCTTTAGTTGCTACTTCGCAAACGATGCTATCACTGCTTGATTGGACGGCAGCGAACGCGTTCCCAGATGTAGGCGCCTCTAATCTAGAAGCAGCTTTGACAAGCCGTTCATGGGATCTGCCAACGAGGATGATGCACTTGGCACCTTCTTGGAGGAATCGCTCTGCGATGGCGAATCCAATGCCAGATGTGCCGCCTGTGATCATACATGTTCGACCAGCTAATCTTTCCGAAGACCTGAGGGGAGGACCATTGCCAGTCCGTGTGGTAGACCATGACCATCCGCTGAGAGGCCTTGATAATAAAGGAGTCATTTTGAGGAAGTGTGCATGAAACTTGGTCTTAGCTTGATGAGCAGGCTGTGCTTGATGGCCTAATGTGGACCATGATGTCGATGCTGCTGCGCCGCGGAAGCGGGAACGCAGAATATGCGTATGGTACATGACTGAGTCGCTATGGTCTTTTCGTCAAGGCAAAAGAGAGACCTTTCTTCAATGGTTCGATTTATGGTGATGAATCCGGCCTCTTTTCTCCATGAACAACCGAGCTGTTTATAGGCCAGAACAACCTCGGTTCAATCTGTAGACTGAACTCGGACCAACTTCTAGATCAGCTCGATTTTGGTGATATAAGCATGTGTCAAGATTTAAGAAATTGAAGCTTTTTATGAAGTATCCTCCTAATCATGTAACTTGGTACTGATTGCGATCCGTTGAAGGTGAGATCGAATCGTTATCGGAACAGCTTCAGCACGGACCACCTGTGAAGACAACTCACCTTCGTCTTTTTCCCCGATCAACCTTTCTTACAAGGTACAAACAGCAACCACTCCCATACTCCAAAATGGCATCTTCATCATCTACACCCTCCGAGTATGTGACACTGGTATCAGGCGACGGATTCGAGTTCATCATCCCCCGGAGTGCAGCCTGCGTATCTGGAACAATACGACGCATGCTGGAACCTTCTAGTAAGACAGACCGGTTCAGTTCTTGCGCGCAGGAACAGAAACTGACATGTTCTTCACTATGTTGCAGGTAAATTCTCCGAGGCAATAACAGGTCGCTGTGTCCTCGAAAACCTCAGCGGAGTTGTTCTCGAGAAAGTATGCGAGTACTTCTGTTACAACGAGAAGAATAAGAACCAAACCAACGTGCCCGATATGGATATTCCTCCAGAGCTGTGCTTAGAGTTGTTGATGGCGGCTGATTATCTGGATACTTGATGTGTGGAGTGTGTGTACTATCATTCACCTGTTCCTCTTCTACCTTGTGACTAACTGTTCTAGTTGCATTTATTTTACGATTCATGAGGCAACGACTTTGCAATGCAAGGATTATGACTATTTCAACAGCCGGAGTTAGTGGCTAGGTATCTTCTATAGAAATGAGCCATTTGTTCGGTTCCGGTAGGTATCCTTCACGCGTACGAGAGGAACACCTTTGCCCATTAAGCAGACCTATCGGCAGAGGCAGCCTTACGCTCCTTCTTCCCATGTCATGGAGCATTCGCTCTAGAGGGCGGGACTCGCCCGCCGACTTAGCCATCTGAGCATCCCGTCCGGGCCTAGCTCAATGGCCGGACGACCTAAAGATGATGGCAGAGCAGCCATGTCCCTTTTATTCAGGTCTCGTCCACTTCCATGGATATAGGGCTTTATTCCAGGGGAAACATGCTCCTTCAATATCTGTGATTCAAGGTAGTTGTTGCTGAGGCAGGTGACAGTGTCTTGTCATCGCCCCTTAGGTTTCTGTTTCGATCTCGAAAATCCTCCTACCTTACTTCCTTGAGGAGTGCCTCTGTTCTCGTATAGCTTTTCCTTTCCAAACGCGGCATCCGCAACTCGCAGGTAACTCACAACACCTTGGTCTATAACGGCGAGAATGACGTTTCGATACCCTTGCCGTAGCCGCATATAGAGCTGTCTGTCCATTTTCTCGCCTCGCGGCGGATCTAGCGGCGTGCCTTCGAGCAAAGTGCCCAGCTGTGAGAGTGTGGGCATAGAATGAGTGCGGGAGTCGATGACAGCAATCCTGAAATCGGGAGCGGGAGGAGCAGACTTGCGGAAGGGCGTTGAAGGTTTATAGACATGGAAGACAACCCGGAAGGGAGCTTCCGTTCGTGGAGCTTTAGACTGGGGGAGTGTAGGATCATGCCAGGGTATAATGGCAAGCTTGCGGTAGATATCACCTGGAAAATTAGTTGGCTTGTACATCATGGCTTCTGGGACAAACTCACTATAGCTGCGATGAATTCCAACACCAACAAGGGGTATTGTCGCGGTCCTAGGACTCGGAGTCTGAAGCCATTTCATGAACCGCTCATACACCCCTACTAAACCTGCACCAACCCGAACGGGCTCCTGTGTCTCTGAATCGACACTCGATTCCTCCGTATCGTCATACCACGCAGGCGCCCGAGTAAGCGTATAACCCAGACGCTTCAACCCCGTATAAACCGTAAACCTATCGATGGTCAACCCACCGCGCCCAATAAAACACGCATACGCCGCCTGCAAGCTCATAGGGATCCCCGAGTCGCCCGCATTCCCAGCATCTCCGCACCCCGTCGCGGAAACCGGCCACCGAACCTCCAGACTCCCTCTTTCAAGCATGTACAGCGCCTCCTCAGGAAGCAACCACACCCTATTCCACCGGTCCCCCTGGCCCATCGTCTTGAAGAACTGGCCCTTGGGATTGGCCACGTACACACACGCGTCCCGATGAACCCCCAGCTTCGTCCCCGGGGCTTTTCCCGACTTCAACTCGGTGTTCTGCGTTTCGCCTTCCGCGGCGGGCGCTATCGAAGGCGGTGCGGGTCCGTCTGGCGCGTATACGCCAACGATCCTGTGTTTTGGGTGGTGGAGTCGCGGGTACGAGAGGGCATTATGCATAGCCCTGCGTGAGGCGGCGAGGACATCAGCTTGGAATTCTGTCGGGTTGGGCTCGAAGTCTTTCTCTCCTCGTTTAGGGAGGCTAGACTGTGATGGGTCTGCAAGGCTATGGTGGATTATTTAGTTTAGTAGCTGAACCGGATATCTAATGGCTAATCGGCTCGCGATGCAATACTGACAAGGAAAGGTGGTTTAGCATGCGGAAGTCTTGTGTTTCGTCCGACAGGTCGGTCTCGATGTGAGTGGAAGTGTCGTTTGAGGGCAGACGAGCGACATCTTCGTCCATGTCTGCCATTTTCGATGAGAATGAAGCCCCTAGCTCCGAGTAAGTGTGTTGTGCACAGATAGTGGTGAGAGCTGATATCAATCTCCGATAAAAAAATCTCGGTGGCCCAAGCTTATCAGTTCCGCTTGTGACTGCTCCGTACAAATCGCGGGGAAGCCGTCGACGGATAATATTTCACGGAGCTTCATGCGCATTCCCCCTAAAAGACGGAAATTCTGATATGCCATGGATTCTGCTATTATAGATTATAACGAAATACTTGATCAGGTATATCTCAACCACGGAATCAATCACGCACTTCTAACCTCAGCCAGATCCACAGAAACCTCACAAATGCTCTCAACACATTCGGTCCCTCCTCTCAGCAGTATCAGAATATATTGAAGTTACTAAAGGAGTGCCTGGATAATATCGACAACGATAAGAAAAAGAGGTCCACTGCTATCGACCCAGATACCCTAAGCTTGGCGATGAAGTTCTTGGAGCTTGGGAGATGATCTACCATTCCCAATGTTTCATGTCTTGTTGACCCTGAATGTGGATCTCCGTTGATCATGAACAACATGGCATCTCTCCAGTTCTGCGACATGCGACAAACGGATGAGTCCAGCGGGGTCTGTTGTCATGAAAAGAATGTTCGACCCAACACTCCAGTGGATTCCTGAAGATGGTCCTCGGAGCCGAGTGAAGTGGACGACCTAAGGCAATGTTCAGACACTCCAGCATCATAGATCTTACATATTACATGGAACTATATGGCTAGAGGACCATACGAGAAAAGCGAGTGTCCCACCGTCGACATTCCCAGGATATAAGCAAGGCCGACCAAACACCTCGTTTTCCCCGCCCCTAACAAACAACAAAACGGAAAGGCTACCCTGAATGGCATGCAACAAGACAAACTCCAGACCCATGCATTCGTAAAACATGACCATGCTTTGCTTCTAAAGCAGGGCGTACCGCTGTGATTGAAACTTCGGCTCTGTCACAAGTGGTTGGCGGTTGAGGTAGTAGAGGACTTCTAAGCAGACCACAGATATTCTGGTCTAGTTCGAAAATGTTGTGATTTCGGAAACCGAGCCATTTCTCAATCGATTAGTGGCTTCTTCTGGTTTCCAACAATTGCCACTCCGAGATGTCGCAGGGCATTGGGATCATTGGGCCGTACAATAGACGGGAGAGGTAACATAGGGTTGTCTGGGTTCACGTGGACTGCATCTCGAGCAGCTTGCTCGATGGCTTCCATTTCTTCTTTGCACCCCGCATGGTCAAGAGGACAAACGACGATTGGCTGTCGAATCGCAATGTCTCGTGCAGACGTCAAATGCGCCTATACCTAGGTTAGCCGGGTTTCGGTAAATTGCCCTGAGTTGGCTGCATAAGAATACAAACCTTGACTGTCAAATAGTACTCGATTTTGTAGAGACTTGCTGTAGTAGTAAAACCGCTCACAGCATACGTTGGAAAAGCCGCTTTACCTCTAGGAAGAATTCCCTCTGCATCTCGCAGATCCTTTGCTGGAAATACCAAGCCCAAGTTCGTCAAGAAGCCGGTAGGCGGCAACTTCACGCCAATCGGTTCTGTTCGTTTGACCAGCGTTTTGACCTTGCGCTGCGGTTCATCGCCCTCGTGGTTGTAGATGATCTCCTCATCGATACCAATGGTAATCTTGTTGATTGTGACTTTCCTTGCTTTGGTCATCCAGTCCGGATTTGGTGATAGCTTGACGTAGACGCTGACGGGGTCGAGAGGCCCGTAAGACCATCGCGGTAACGAGATTCCTAAAGTCACCAAGTGATCCGTCACCCGTTCCGCCGACTCAGGGCGATTGTACATTCCAAACGTGGATAGCGTGTCGTATCGCGAGATCGGGACTGGAAATGCATACTTCCTTTGTTCCGATTGTCCCTGCTGGACGGTCACGACAATCTCGTAGTATGTCTCCGCAGTGCGACTGGGGAGCTGCAGGCTGGCGGGAGGAACACGTCTTGAAGAGTCCGATCCACCACGTCCGAACGGGATAAAGAGGACAAAAGGCAAATCCATGGATATTACTTCCTCATATTCTCGACCGGCCGGACATCGGAAAAGCAGCATCTCCTTGCCGACAATATCAGTTAATTCCTTCCTAGGGGGCGCAAGATGCTTCTTGGTCACGGAGTCCGCTGACGGGTGTATTGTCTCACGGCGATGGAGAGATACGGTCACGAGGGATACATTGACAGGTGCGGTGATGCCGACGCTGGGTCTGATTTCGACTTTACCTTCAATTCGCGGCTGCGTCAAAACGTTAGTCTCTCACGGTTTCACATTATTCTGACCAGCGCTTACCATAGTCGCAGAGATACCAGGGTAGCCGATCAGAAAATTACCGTTCGGCGGGCCTGACACTCGCACGAAGGCGGCCATAGTGAGAGGGCTGTACCCGCACCACCATGGGCACGCGGCGGTTGGAAGGGATGCGCTCCGGGGTTGTTGCGGAGATTATGCGACTCGAGGGACGTCGTTAACTGCTGATAATTCATAGAGACCACGGACGATCAGGCAGTCCCGCTTAATCGCATCTGCGCCAAGGGTCTTACAATGACGCAGGTGCACTGGACGGATGTGGCTTTAGGAGGTGCGCAGTCACGGATTCAAGAGTAGGCGGTAAAAGCTGCTCGTCGATAGGGGTGTGGGGCGTGCAGCTTCGGTATCGAGACGGTGAGTCAATCGCGAAGGACGGATAGTTGTACTGTTTCAGCGATGATGAAGTTGAATGGCTGTAGAGGTCGTAGAGGTGGTTTGTTTATTGGCGCCGATGTGGGGGGAGGAGAGTGATGGGGAACATTTGGAGCGGCTAAGTTCAGGACTTCTGTCTCTCTCGAACTCGACAGAACTGCCCCAGGCCTCGCTTCGCTACAATGCGCGAGGATCTGCATTCAACACGAGGGCTAGATCATGACATGACCTTACCTCTCAGAGTACTTGGACGGTTATCTTTCAGCCTCAGACTCGTTTCGGAGAAAACACGTTTTCCTCTTTGGCTATGTACCCATTATTGTTGATTGATGTTCCCTTTGTCTAGAGTTATGGAACGGGGAACCCTGGAACTCACCGTTAACTCAAACTGAGCCTCAAGCAATCTTTAAACATAATACTACTAACCGCTACAGACAATTTCCTTGCACTCCGCCAGGAATTAAGGCTATTCAGATACCTAATCAATCCTTCGCTGTCTCCTCGTCGTCCAACAAGGGTACCTATTTCAGTGGTCTACGTCATAGCCTTGTTGGATACCAGCTCCACAGGCATCAGCTAGACACGATCTGACAGCACCGATATGACATTCAGCCCCCAGCGTTGCCTCTCTACTTGGGACACTCCACGTCAGCTCAGGATACTCTGATGGCTAGAGAATTCTTATCTACGTACTACAGCTCATCAGCCCGCAGTTTGCGACGACGGCTGAGCGCCGGGACCATTCTCTTTGGCAAGCATCGATCTCTGGATATCATCGCCAACCAGATCCAGACCTTAACCCCGTATTATTGTAAATTATTCTTACTCGGGATTTCACTAGGCTTTTTTGACAGTATGAAGGCTGTGACAACCTGGCGGCTGTCTTAATGGCCTTCCGCCTAAGGCGCAGACGGCTCAAGATTATTCATTCTGTTCATATTTTACATAATCTACCTATCTCGAGCCTCAGTCAGGTACTGATGGGCAATGAGTATGGAGTCGATTTGGGACAATACTGGCATTGGTATCAACTGATGGGCTGGGAGTATGAGAATATATCTTAGTATGCTTACATAGCACGGAATCTGCGCCCAATTGCGACCACTCAACGTGAGCTTTTAACTTGCTTTCGCTTTCTATTATAATAATGAAAGAAATAAAGGGATGATAGATGAACTTTTTGGCACCATGGAGTGCCCTATCTTTGATCCTAGAGCTGTTTGTAGTGCCGGGTTGGTCTAGGGTTGGAGATACAGTACCTGCATTGATGAGCTGATTAGGGATTTCCCTTCTAACCTATTGTAGGAGGCATGTGTGCCTAACCAAAATTATCCAATCTATGGCCATCTGTAGCCCGAATTTATCCTCAGTTGCATATTCTCGGTGCCGAATAGGATTAAAGTATGTACCTCCGTCCAGTGGGTGACGGTCGAGGGTTGACGGTTCGGTTGCCATGTGCAACGCCCACCATGACATCGCTTTCTCCACATCCACCAGAACCAGATCTCACAAACTGCAAGTTGCAACAAGCTATCAGCCTCAAACGGCCTATTTTAATACAAAAATTACATTCATATCCTGGAATCTATTGAATATGCCCACCACTCGTCGCCGCGGAGGCAACACTGCCGCCTCCCGCTCAGGTCAGTCGACGCTTTCATTCGGCGGAAAGTCCAGAGTCACCAAGCCATCGGCCACGTCGACACGATCTCAGAAAACCAAACACCTCGAACCAATCTCAGCTGCTGTCTCATCGACCGAAGAGGTCCCAGACGCGGATCAAGTGCCCGTCGCTCCCTCGGAGCCGTCACAGCCGCACGTTGCGGAGCTCGCCGTCAGACAGCAAGCCCGGGAGGAGATCCAGCAACCGCTGAGCGAGGAAGATCAGAAGGCGATCAGGATCACAGAACAGGAGCTGCAGCGGTATTGGAAGAAGGAAGAGCAGACAAGGAAGGCACCTCGAGGTGGGTCTTCGGATTGTGATGTTGAGAACCAGTTTGGCCGAGGGAGAGGAAATGCTGACGATATTCCTGATGAGCAGTCCACCAGGAAGATCTTTCATTACACGAGAAGATACTGAGACATTTTGACCTGTCTAGTCAGTATGGGGTATGTCTATGATATCTTGCTACTTGCCGCTTCCCGCGCTGAGAGTTCCTCTAACATGATATAGCCATGCATCGGAATTGCTCGGCTAAAGCGCTGGAGACGTGCGAAGATGCTGAACCTCAATCCTCCTATCGAAGTCCTTGCCGTCTTGCTGAAGGAGAAGGACACGGTGAAGCAGA